TGCTTTCTTATTTAATAAAAATAAATATCTGATTCTCGTCATGGTTTTCTCAATATTTGTATCCATCTACAAGGCTAAAATTCATGTCCCATACCAGGACCGAAACGGCCGTCCAGTGCTTCCAGGTTTATTTCTAATGGTGGCCCAACATTGATCGATTTATGATTTCAAAATGGAACTCAACAATCTCCACAACCCACTAACTCACATGTGGAATTGTAGGGCGGAACTACAGAATAAAAAGAAATTAAACATTGATTCTTGGAATTTCAGTCTATTTGATCTTCTCAAATTTATTAATGTTTGCTTTAATACTTATTGTTCGGGATGTTAGATCTCCAGAACTCGCTTGATAAATATCTTTATTTTCGATTTATTTCATGGACCGATCAGTTGACCGTAAGATCACATTTCCCACCAGGAAAATTCTTGGCTATGATTGGTTACTGAGCCATTTTAGTGTGCTATTTTTGTGACTGTCCCAATGACGTCTCTATAGAGTATAAATAAACGCAATTTGAGTGCTTGGATTCATTTTATGCTGACCGGGTGTTTATAGAATACAATTTCTACACTATATCAAGAATTCTTGCTGGTAAAATTGGGTCAAGGGATCAGAGTAGTCTACCTGGATGTTGGTTCATTGTTTTATTCTCGTTATTCGACAAAGGTGAACTCGTAATAGTTTAAGCATAACAATTATACAAGTGTGTATGTTTACGGAATCAGAATTACAGTATACCAGTGGTATGAATTTTATTAACTCCTGTAGGCTGAAAAACATCATTTTAAAAACAATTGTTTAATCTATTTTCTAGCTGAAAAAGAGACTTTGAAGACAGAATGTAAAATCAGATGACTTTTTTGTCTAAACTAACTTACCACTTCTCTCATTGATTCAGTGATTCAGTTAAGAACTCCTACTGCAACATTCTTCACAAAAAACAAGGTTAGCCAAGAAACATTAATCTGTCAGCAAGAAAGGTGGATAAATGCATAATTGATGTCATGATTTCTTGACTGGATGGTTAGATTGATGAGTGTTTTTTATTTCAACTCGACGATAAATTCACTTATCCATGTCAATCAACTAAATAATCACAACAAGTCGAAAGAATACTTAGATTTTGATAAAAATTTTAAATGTCATTATAGGGTTGCTGAGATTGTTGAGTTTCATTGGAATTTCGAACCGATCATTGTTAGACCACTCATAGTATGGGACTCACCAGCTATGCACATCCACCACCTCACCGCAAAGAATTGAACAGAGTACCTTTGGTCTCGCGCGCAAACACTTAACCTCTAGACCACTGAACTGGCCGGCACTGAACGGTGTTAATACCTATCTCCAATCAATTGTCCTTGGTCTGGTTTCTTTATGCAGGGTTCGTGGATGTACACTGACTTTGAGTCCCATAATAGGGCGAATCAGCCGTCCAGTACTTCCAGGCCTCTAATGGTAGTCTCACGCTGATCGATTCATGATTTCAATGAAAACTTCTAACCACTAGATTAAAACATCTAAAAACTTAACTAATATCAAATACACAATACCTTCTAGCTACTTCTTCACTTCCTAAAATAACAATGAGTTGAATTTTGTCGATCGAACGACTGTTAAAACTTACATTGACAATTGTTTCTTTTAGATAGACACAAAAAGTAAATATTAAAATGTATACATGTTATTAAACTGATTGAACATTTCTACTTATCCATTTCTCTTATGTCAAAATAAATAAATAAAGTAAATAAATATATTTTATGAATAAATTTTTTCAAAAGGATAATTTGTTGATTATAACAAATTATATGCCTATATCTCTTCTAGTATTACATTTTCACTACCTAGAGTAAATCGATTGAATATGTGTTATATAACAAATCAAAGGCTTTTTGCTTAAATGCTTATTGTTTTCAGAAAAAAAATACTTTACTCTAGTGTAAAAACTCAAAACAGTTCAATGACACTAAGGTCATCATTATTCTTACCAACTGAATTATTACTCACTTACTTACTTACTTACTTACACCTATTACTACTAGTGAACCATAAGTCTCTGACCAGTATTCTCCAACCTACTCTGTCAGGAGCTTTTATTTCCAGTTCTATCCAAACGCTATTCATTATTCTTATGTTTGTTTTCAATTCTCGACTTAATATGTTCTATGGTCTCCCTCTTTTCCTTTGACCTTGAAGATCTCAAATGATGGCATATCTTGTAACACAGGTAGTAGCTTTCCACAATGTATGTCCTACCCTACACCAGTACCAATTTCTTAGTTTCTCCCTCAACTGTAATCTGGTTTGTTCTCTACCAAAGTAAATTGTTGCTCATGGTGTCTAACTAACTCCGTCTAAAGCCCTTCTGGGGTTACTGCAGACGCCTATCTCGGTTATAAGAGGAGGGTTGGACGTGGTGTTAGCGCCTCCATCCTGTAGAAAAGCAGCTCGCTAAAAAAAATGCACTAACCCGTACAAATAATTCAAAATTTTAAATATTCTTCACACTTTTGTTTTCACCAACCTACGAGTAGTAGGTTGAATACAGGTTGAATCATGAATCATGTTAACATCTTCGAAGAAATGGAAAATAATATTACTATTTGTAATGCTGACCAGTCAGTTAAGAGTGTTAAGAGTGGAAGTAACAAAAGCTACCTCCACTAATCTTAGTTATCATATGATAAGAATTATTCAATTCTTCCTGACATGAATTTCAAAAACTGCATTGCATAAAATAATAGTCTGTCTTAGAATATTTGTAAAACAATGGTTGTTTATTGATATGAACTTTGACGGTCACAAATGGTCAGTATTCAGATACAATTGGTAACAGAACATCATAATCTTTATCGATGAGAAGGATTTCATTGAAAAAAAAGTTTTTAACATTTAAGTGAATAAAGTACTGGACAGCGGTTTTATGTACATCCATGACTCCCGAATGCGGAAACCAGACTTAGGACAATAGGTGAGGTTGCACATTACCGAGAATTGATTGAAGTTAGACATAAACACAGTTTGAGAAAGATAATCACTGAATATTACTCATTTTAAACAGACAGAATATAAATACTGGGACATGATTTTTACCAATTAAAGAGATTCTCTTTCATTAGATCCATTGACATAAGTGGGGAACTCTAGCAAGCAATTAGTGATTGGTGAGAATGGAAGGGCTCAAATAAACAGAAACAGCCAGAAACTGTAACATAAGATTAGTAGACATATTGTTAAATTTTACGTCTCACTGTAAAAAAACATGAAACCTTAACTGGTATGCAACATCTATTGGTTAGATCCTGGTTTCATACTTCACAAAGATAATCGTCTTGAAAAAATTGTTTTTTCTCCGTTATTATACAGTCTTTTGATTTATAGCTAGCTGAAAAGAAAGATGATTATTAGTAGAACTAGGAAGAGTATTCATTGTTATTCCGGTGAATGAACATTACACTCATAGTTTTACAAGTTGATAAAACACTGAAAACTTCCTGACCGACCTGGAAATTTACTTCACTCTACAAACTATGACTGTAAACAAGCACAAAGGTAGTAATGAGAGTAAAGTTTCACTTCATTGTCATTTTAGAAATAAATGTCGAGAAGTGTTTGTACGGAGATTTGTGGATTCGGAAACATCTAGAAAGTTAGTCAAAACTAGTGCTGATTTGAGAGTTTAATTCGTGAAATTAACGTAGCAAAATTTATCGAAAAGATTATCGTCTGAATGTCATAACAAATTTATTTGGTTGTAAATATGAAAATTAAATACGCATGTAATTAGTGTATAAGAGATGCTTATTTCTTAAAGATATAGCTTGATAATAACCTTTGGTAGCTGCGTTAGATTCCATGTAGGGCTCATTAGATTAGTAGCCTGCGATTTGACTCTGATATTTATCAGCAATTAAATATGCCATGAAATAATTCCCCCCATCAGTTCCCGTATATTATACTTAGGCGAACCCCTGTTAGTGCAATACAGGTAATTAAAAGCCAAATGCGTATTCGGTCGGATGAATTTTATTTCAGACAATCGTTCATGCAGACATGATATTGAAAAGCATACAAATAAAGTGAAGCGGAGAAGGCGAGTGAGCCAACTCAGTTCGATGAAGCATGACTAAGAAAATAAATAGTGAGACAACGCAGGTCAGGCATGTAATAAGCGGGGAAGATGTGCACAAACATGAATAAAAGCAACCAAAAGATCAGCGAATAACTCACAAGGTCAAAAGACGAGTGAATAATAACTTCAGAATAGCGGACTGATTAATTTGTCCAAATGCTGGAACGAGCCCTATGGGCTCAACATAGAAGTACACATACCAAAAATCATTCAATATCTGAAAAATTAGTCCCATTGCATAAAACATGAAAAAGACTTGATGTATTTTATAGTGAGTGACCTTGATGTTAGTCGTCAATATTAGCAGGATTTAGTAAACAATCAACTCTGAAATACGTTTATCAAATGAAAATTATCAATGAAACTCATCTGCTTCAATGAAAATATAGACTAAGTTAATAATGAACGTTTTGATCAGTTACTCATAATTCACTTATATGATTATTACCTTGAAATCGTGTATCAATCATTGTTAGACCGCCATTAGAAACCTAGAAGCAATGGATGGCCGTTTCGTCCTGGCATGAGACTCATCAGCAGTACACATCCATGACTCCAGCTAGTCGCATGATTCGAACCCAAGACATTTGGTCTAGTGCGTAAAAGCCCAATCCTGGACCACTGAGCCAGTCGGCATCCAACATTGTTAATATCTAACTCTGATCGATCTAAGGATTTAGAGTAACCTCACCCATATAACGATGATCAATTCATGATTTCAATGAAAACCCACCTTTTTCATTATTCTGTAATGCAAAATACTACTGTTTTTATCTCATACAGAATTAAACTTTCTTCTCTACACTTTTTTTCAGACTTCTGAGCATTCCCAAAACTAATGTATCCTCTTTTTATTCAACTATGAATTTATACACTCTACAAATATTAACAAAATCTACAGAAAACATAAAAAAAATGATAATCAATCAAATAATGCAGAATTTTTCATTAAAATCTTTTATCTACACTACAATCTTATTAAATATTTATATGATCAAATCAATTGCTATGAATGAACCTAATGTATTCTACGTAAATGATGATACAAATGAAGGTCAACGAATTGGTCGTATTACACATTTAAATGGTAATAATCAACCAATGAATTTATTGAAAACAGGTCATTTGAAAGCAGTAATTGTACGTGGTAATCGTCCACCTGCTGTATATTTTCGTTTAAATGAAAATACTGGTGATTTATATACACGTACTGTGATTGATCGTGAAGCATTATGCTTTAAACAACATTCAATTGATGGACCATTGAATAATCATCTGTCAAAAGATTTCAATGTTCAATTAACTGATGAAACGCATTATCAATATGCATTATCATCATCATCGTTGTCATCATCAGCAGCAGCGGGAAATTCAAAGATTGTACATCAATGTAAGTTTACATTTCAAGTGGCATTACATCGTACCTTCTCTCAACAACAACAACAAACACATCATCAACCGCATGAACCAGCCTATCCATATCTCCCGGAATTCATTGATATTACCATCTTTGTTATTGATCGTAACGATCATATCCCCACATTTCAACCACATTCCGTAATTAATTTATCCATTCCTGAATCTGTACCGATTGGTACACGTGTCCAGTTACCGCTAGCGTATGATCCCGATTCACCGGAATTCAGTGTACAACGTTATGAATTATATCCTGTCACAATGAATGGTTTTGCATTGTATACACAAACTACTGATATTATACAGAATACTAATTTATTGCATGAAATAACTGGATTATATTTAGAAGTGAAAACAATGCTTGATCGTGAATTACAAGAAAGTTATACACTTGAAATTAAAGCATTTGATTCATTGGTAACATCCACAACCACAACAACTACTACATCTTTACTACATGATAATCGTAATGTGCTGAAAATATATTTAACCATAGAAGATATTAATGATAATGGACCGATATTTCAACCACCACAAACTAATTTGACCAACAATCCAACAATGATGATGATGTCGTCCATAATGCCATCATCAACACTACCATTTTCGTCAACTGCATTGTCATCAAATATTTTCACTTATAAAATTGAACTAACAGAATCTAGTTGGCCAAAAACTCCTATATTACAATTGATTACTAAAGATTTAGATAGTTCCAAGTATGCATTAACAAAATATGAATTTGCTAGTCATACTGAGCATAGAATAAAACAATTATTTAAATTAAATGAACATACTGGTGAATTATTTTTAAAACAACCATTAGATTATGAAAAATATACAAGTTATACATTTGATGTTTTAGCTATTGACAGTGAATATGATCGACGTAGTAAATTAGATAGTCAAAATGTACATTTTATCAATTCACGTTTACCGCAACCACAACCACACCAACAACAACATAATATTTACACGTCGACAGCGAATGTCCTGGTCAATGTGTTGGATATAAATGATGAAATTCCTATAATTGAATTAGATTATTTAAGAATTGATGAAACAACTGGTCGACCAGCTACTTATGCACGTATTGAAGAGAATAGTGAACCGCCACAATTTATCGCTGATATACTGGTGACAGATCGTGATGCGAATGCAGCGAATAGTCATGTGATTTGTACAATAGTGAATAAATTAAATCGACCTCAAAATAATAATAATAATAATCATAATAATAATGACAATAATAATAGTAATAATAAAACTGATCTAATCAATACATTATTTCAATTGACCGAAGTGAAACGTCAACCTGGTCTTGTACAATACAATATGTTAACTGTACGCAGTTTAGACAGAGAAACAAATGGAGCAATTATTCGTGTACGTGTTCAATGTTCTGATTCGGGGGAAATAAAAAAATTCTCTGAAGTTGATTTAGTTATTCATGTGATAGATTTGAATGATAATAGTCCACAAATTCATTTGATTACACAAAATTTAAACACAATAAAATCTGAAACTAATAATATAATTTATTTAAAAGAAAATTCACAAACCGGTACAATTGTAGGTCAATTCAATGTGACTGATCAAGATTCCGGTGAAAATAGTCGTACTACATGTACACTGACATCAGTGAATAATGACCCATTATTATTAAACATTCATGAATATTTTCAAATGGATCCAACCTCATGTAATTTAATCACACGTAAACCAATTGATCGTGAATCCACATATCCTCCACTAGATGAAATTAATTTAACTATTGAAGTTAATGATCATGGTCAACCAATGCATAAATCAAATTTAAATATAAAAGTGAAAATACTCAATGAAAATGACAATGTACCGGTATTTCAACATACATTTTATCGTTTTTCAATTAAAGAAAATTTACCAGCCGGTGTTAGTGTTGGTCAATTAATGATCACGGATTTAGATGGAGATTATGATCGATTGGATGTAAGATTACAAAAACAAGAACAATTACCATTTCAATTATGGAAATCCGAAACAACAACCTCAACATCGTTTACAGATCATTCAAATGATATACCAATGATTGTGTATTATTTGAATACAACTAAATTACTTGATCGTGAAGAGAAATCAAGTTATGAATTTGAAATTTATGCAAATGATGTCATGCCTGATAATGAGGAATTATTATTTAGTCAACAGAAATTATCAATGAAAAGTTTTAGTCATCGAACTAGTACTAGTGTTCTAGTGACAGTGGAAGATGAGAATGACAATGATCCAGTGATTATATTTCCACAACAACCTGATAAAATATTTATTTTATCAAATTTAGAAAAAAAATATTATCAATTGATGACTGTCAATGCAAATGACAAAGATCCTACATCAAATACATTTATATTTATGTTAGAACAAAAAGAAACTGTAGGTAATACAAATGCAACTACGCTAAAAACTACTCATCTAGATGAAATTGATATCAATGAATCAAAATCAGCCTTAGAATTAATACAGAAACCATATTCTACAACAAACCAATTAAATACATTCTTAGAAATTGATCGTAGTGTCGGTACGGTGTATTTAAGTAGAGATATTCAACAAAATGATACAGGTACACATGTATTTCACGTAATTGTACAAGATAGTATATTAAATCCACGTACAGCATCATTGAGATTTTTTGTGAAGGTAGAACCAATTCCACCACGTTCATATCAAATTAAATCCAATAATAATAATTTATTGAACAATGAACATAATGAACGTCGTGTATTATTAAGCGAAAATACTATACATTCCGAGTATTTCGATTCGAATTTCGATCGAAATACTCATTATTCAAAATTATCTAATAATAGAGAAAACTTTTTGTCAAATAGAAAATTGGATAATACAAAATTGATCATTGAAAATCATTCTTATCCTTTATTATCATCATCGTCATCCTCATCGTCGATTGCATTTTCATCCACTAAACAATTCAATCGTCGTTTAACTAGTGATACAGTATTGATACTTTCATTAGGTTTAATATTGTTAATACTTTTAGCTACTTTATGTTTAGTTATATTTGCACGTCATTGGTCAGTGAATTCTGCTGGTATTCCGCAAAATTTAATTTCACCGGATAAAATTCAATGTTCCAATTTATTTTGTTGTTGTATTACACCAAATCATAAACAAGTGCCAAATAATGATCATTTAAAAGCGGATAAAAAAGAAGTGATTAATATTTTTCAACCAACACATTCTTCACCACATATAAATAATCATCATTCACCAATTAATTTAAACTGTGATAATACTGTCAGATCATTAGATACATTTAATGCAAGTTTAAGTGATTCATATAGTCAAAAAATATTGGACAATGAACATGTTTATTATCGTGACTGTAGACAATTTTCTTTATTACCTGTTTTAACTAGTACAATAAACTCTGAGAGTGGATCATTCCCAACAGATTATACTGCGTTACAAACAATCACTTCATGTAAATGTTGTACACCACCTCCACAACAGTATACATACAATATAGATAATTCAAATCAACACTTACTTGAATCATTTATGATACAACCTATGAAACATAATAACACATTACAAACTAATCCAATTTCTAATTGTCCAATTTCTTATTATACAACTTTATCACCAAAATTAAAATCCGATAATGTCATAGATAAACAACGTAAAGTACGTATTATGTCAACAATGAAAGAGAATGTTGATGTGGAGACATCGAAAAATTCACCTTCGGAATATTTAACAACATGATAAAAAAAAGTAGTAAAATTGTTTTTAAAAAAAATATGTAAGTGATTTATATTTTTTTTATTTTATGCATAGAATTTATTACAGCTACAAATATATTATTCTAAATCATGGCTAAAATTACTCCACCTTAAACCCATTATATGATTCCTTTTCCTTTATTATGAAAACCACAAATCAAGCATTGTTAGACAATCATTAGGAACCTGGAAGCACTGGACGGCCGTTTCGTCCTCGCATGGGACTCATCAGCTCAAGACCGAAGGTCTTGGGTTCGAATCTGCGAGCAGCAAGAGTCATGGTAGCGCGATGCTGATGAGTCCCATCTGAGGACGAAACGGCCGTCCAGTGCTTTCAGGTTTCTAATGGTGATGTGACAATGTCTGATTCATGATTTCAATAGAAAAACAACACTCTCCATAACTCTTTCATGAAAAATCCTTTATTTTCATTTGATTCTATGTGTAAAAATTGTTTTTAAATGTTTAACTTTGCACATTGTAAGACAATTGAAACATTAAACAAATACAGAGTACATACTATTCACCTGTTTATGAATTCATCATAGAAAGTAACATTATAAAACTTTAAAGAATTTGAATATTAATTAATAGGGATTATCGGATTATCTTCCTTACAATTCATTAACTTATTGTTTTGACTTGAACGTGTAG